TTATTTATATAGTTAAAATATCCTCTGGATACTTGGCTTTCTCTGCCGCTGAGGGCAGTCTTCTCTTGGCTTCTCAGGCTGGTATCACTGTGTGATTTTGTTCTTTTTATTGTTTTTCTTCTTACTCTCCAGTAACACCACATTTGAATTACTTTGTTTGCAAAGTTTGAGAGATAAAAAGCAATTTCCTGTTAATAGAAAAGTTCTCATATAATGACACTATTTAGAATGAGATCTCAGTAGGATGAACAATGCCACAAGATGGCTGAAGTTAAAAAAATATGCTGGCAATAGGGAGCAAATGTATGAATTTCTGTATACGTAGCTTAGTACATTAGAATATGGGCTTGGGGCACCTGGGTGGCCCAGTAGATTAAGCACGACTCTTGATTTCAGCTCAGGTCATGATCTCACGGTTGCTGAGTTTGGTCCTGTGTTGGGTTCTGTGCTGACTGGAGCCTGCTTTGGATGCTCTCTTCCTCTTTCTCTGCCCCTGCCCTGCTTGTGTGTGTGCCCTCCCTCCATCTTTCTCTCTCTCTCTCTCAAAACAAACAAACAAACAAACAGACAAACTTTAAAAAAGAGAACATGGGCTTTCTGTTATACTGGGATTCTAATCTTAGCTCTAAGATCTTTTCATCTATAAAACATGATTATAATATTAGCTTGTTTTCAGCTTTAGTTAAGAGAAAAACTTCCTGGCCCATTGATACATAACATAGTGAGGACAGAATAAAGTCTCCATATACTGTCCTTTAAAACAAAACAAAACACAAAAAAGCTCTTCTATGGATCATTGCCATTAATTAATATTACCCGGAAATAGTATCCCAAAATTCACTTTTTTGTGTTATTATAGTCTTGAAGATTGTTTTCCCACTCCCCATTTTTAAATGGTAATATCCAAGGGAAGAGAAGTAATCGAATTGCCTTTTTCCTAGTTGACTTTTTGGCAATCTCCTGAATGTATTTCTCTTGCCAATAGACCCAGTTGCTTCTCCTTCTACAGATTATATCTAAATTATTTAGAATTTAGATTATTTCTGTTATGCCTAAAAATATCAACGAACTGTGACATGTTTTCTAAGAACTTTGTTTCTAGTAGTCCAGTAATTAAAAAAAATTTTTTTTTAATGTTTTATTTATTTCTAGGAGAGAGAGAGAGAGACCGCGTGAGCAGGGGAGGGTCAGAGAGAGAGGGAGTCACAGACTGAAACAGGCTCCAGGCTCTGAGCTGGCAGTCAGCACAGAGCCTGATGCGGGGCTCGAACCCACGAACCGCGAGATCATGACCTAAGCGAAAGTCGGACGCTTAACCGACTAAGCCACCCAGGCGCCCCCCAGTAATTAATTTTTTGATGATTTCAAGATCCATACAGTAATAAGCTTTAGTTTGCCTTATATGAAGTATACACTGAGGAGTCAAGAGTCCTATTTTAAAGGATATTTTTGTGGTAAGGAGTTTAGATCAGGAAATGGAGAGCCATTACAAGTTTTTAGAAAGATCATTTGATTACAGTGCATTGAGTATGGGCTGAATGGTGATAAAAAGGTCAACTAGAAGCCTTACTGATACATGTTAAGGGTTCAAGTGAAGGCAGCAGCCTTGTGAATGAAAAGGGAGAAAAAGAGTTAAAAGAAAACTTTGAAGTAGACTTGATGTTGGGAGATGAGAAGTCAAGGATGACTTCAGAGTTCTTGAGTTAGAGAATAGAGAGGACACTAGCTGATGTGGGAGGCCAAGACAGAGTCTGGCATTGTTGAATTTGGGGTGCTTATTAAAGAATTCAGATAGAGATAATGAAAACAGTGTGTGTAGTATGTAAAACCTGGTGTTCTCAAGGGTTTGGTCCTCATGGTTTCTTTGTCTGCTGTCTCCTGGGATTCAGCAAATGAAGACGGAATCCTAAAGAACACCCAAACTTTAATGGAGATGAAGAGTTGGGGTAATAGCAAGAATTATGCAGGTGGGAGAGAGACACAGGAGTAAGTGGTATATGGAGCCATCAACTGAGGGTTTTTTCCTTTACTAGGGTGAGTTTGGGAGCACAGGAGTAATGCCCAAGGTGATTTACATCTTATAAATAGCTTAGCATATCATATTTTGTTTTCAGTAAGTTCTTGAATGAATGAATGAATTTGTCACTCTGATGCAGAGATTGGTTAAAATAGAAGAGATTATTAGACATTTCAAAATAGTGTATAATGTGTCATTTATCTTTTATCTATTTGTAGTCTTGTCTATAGCTTATTGATAACATTTGGAAGTAGGACAGCACAGGTAGGCAAACACAGGCATATTTTTTCCAGATATCTCTCAACTTGAATTCCTCTTCTTTTTAGCATGTTCGTAGTCTTGACTATTGGGAGTAACGGTTGGGAAGGTCTTTCACATGATGATACCCAAGTTTTATTGACAAATGTAAATAAGATTTTCCATTTGACCTTTTTGATAGCTTTCATCTGAATTCTTTACTTTCTTGTGTCTGGCTGTAAAATACATGCTTATTAATTTTAACAGGATTGATTAGTAAGATCTACTGGTATTTCCCTTCTGCTAGCTACATGCTACCCACTGTAAAATGTTGGAAAATGTAGATCTGCATTCGCCTTATGTATTCTTTGAGGTTCTGTTTTTTAGTCACTATCTCCCTCATTTTTCCCTCAGTGGACACCTTTGGGTCTCCAGAGGGGTGTGGCTTATAGTTAAGAGTCAGGGTTAGATACAGTGCTCTTGTAATGTTAATGTGTGAAATCGCTTATTGGAAGACCTATAATGTAAGGAAAAAATTCTAAATCTCATTCTATACAACCTACTAAGCCTCTCTACATCTTTATTTTCCCTTTTTGTTAATTTTTCTTGATAACTTGTTTTACATTTCGTGTGTTTCTTGCTCTGTGACCACTTTTTTCTGACTTTTTCCTTTGTCTCTGGCTTGTTCTTTCTTACCTGTTTCTTCTGCCTCATCTCTTCTGTACAGATAACTAGATATAATATCAAATTGAAGTTTTAAAGAGTCTCTTTTTTAGTAAATACATTTTTATAATTAAAGACTGAAGTGAGATTGATGTTTTTTGTTTTCAAAGTAATTTTATAGTTTTTATATTTTTCTGATATCTGATTTTTAATTATTCAGTGATCTTTAAAGAAATTGGTTTCCTTTTCCAGGAGCAGTCAGCAAATAAACTGTGTGGCGTTTACTTAGCAATTTGAATTAGCCATTGTACAGTTCTCCCACTTCCTGTTTTCTATTATTTTTATTTTTTTAAAGTTTATTTAAGTAGTCTCTATACCCAGTGTGGGGCTTGAACTCATGACCCGAAGATCAAGAGTTCTGACTGAGCCAGCCAGGTACCCTCCTTTTCTGTTATTTTTATGTCACTCCTTGATCTACCTACATGTTTACATATTTAATGTGTTAAAGTGTTCACTTATTGCAAGATTTCAATTGTTTTTGGAAAGAACGTTATTAATTATGAAAAAATATAAAATAGCAAAACAGTTTCTCCAAAGTGGAAATTTTTTTTAACCTTTTATTTTTTATGGAAGTATTTTCTTTTTATGAGCTCTAAGATTCAGATTTTTTTTTAAGTTGTGTTTTTTTTTTTTTGTTTTTTTTTTTGTTTTTAGTGTTATTAATTGTTGATAGAGCGCAAGCAGGGTAGGGGCAGAGAGAGAGGCAGGCACAGAATCTGAGGCAGGCTCAGCACATAGCTGTCAGCACAGAGCCCGATGCGGGGCTCGAACTCAGGAATCGTGAGATCATGACCTGAGCTGAAGTCAGACACTCAACCAACTGAGTTACCCAAGTGCCCCTAGATTCAAAATGTTATTAATAAATTTATCTTCACATTTTTTGTGAGATTGTACTGGAATTTTTTATAAATGTAATTTATAGTATTTTCCCAAATCTGGATTCCTTTTGATGTTTATGCACAACTCACTTCCCTCTATCAAATCCATCTTGGAAAAGTATATAGAAAGCATGCAGGAATGGGTGTCAGGAAACCTATGTTCTGTTCCTGATTATATAACTTTGTTCTGATTGTCTAACTTCATTTAGTTTTGATGTTTGGAGTCTCTGAAAGTCAAATTTGACTTACTATTTCCAAATAAAATACTCCAGCCTGAGCATTTTTCAAGATCAAGACTTCATTCCATATAATAAATTCTCACTGTTCTTTATAATCCTGCCATTTACCAACACTGTGACCTTTTGGCAAATTTATTAAACTACTGAGACTGTTTTCTATTCTTTTTATGATTATAATGCCCACCTTGTAAGGTGGTGTGAAGATTAAATTGGATAGTGAATATACTTTAAAATACTTAGCTTAGGTGTTCTGTGAAGCTGTTGAATTTTTGTATAATTTTATGACTGTACTAGAAAAAACAGTCACAAGTCTCATGTGAAAAGACATGAAGTGTATGAATCACATCAATACTATATTTTGTGTGTTAATTATAATGTAAGGAAACATCACGATATTTACATACTTTAATTTTTGAGCCCACACTAAATTTCTATACAGGAGTTCTTAACTTGGTTAAAAAAATAACAGCTTTGTTATTTGGTTTTACTAGATGCTTTATTAAGTATCTTAAAGCTTTTAGTAATTAAGAAATATATTCCAAGTGAACTTTAGTCTGGAAGAGTCATTCTGTGGAATTGCTTTGCCTTTTTTGGTTCTATATTAATGTTTGGAAAAATTGAGGTACCCAGAAGGCAGTTAAGTGTATTTGCTAAACATAAATAGCACACTGTTAAACTATTGCATTGGTGTAAGCAGATTTACTAGAAAAATCAGATGAAAAGTACCTAAAAAGACTTCTGGTGTTTGTTTTAATCTCCTTTGTGGCAGTTTGTGTGTCTGATATTTTATAATCCTGTTCGTCACTGTAAAAATCTGTCACAGTAGTATCAGAAAGCATGTAAAATTGTTGACTATTTTACTCTGTGTGGACTAGATTTAAAGGTCAACACTACTCTTTCATGTAGGTTATGGGTGCTACATATGCTTTCAGAGCAGTAGTGTGAGGAAGCTTGAAGTGGGATGGCAGGACGGCCTCATCCTTATGACAGTAACTCCAGTGATCCAGAGAATTGGGATCGGAAATTGCATAGTAGACCTCGTAAACTTTATAAACATTCAAGGTAGGTAGAACACATGTATGTCATGTATCAAAGCTCTGGTAAAATTGACTTCTATAAAGAACCAAACTGCATTTGGTTGTGGCAAGTCCTGCAGAGGATGGGGGCTGGTTTACAGAAAATAATGTTTGCATTCCTCCTTAAAAAACTTGTATGGAAACATTTCTTTCCTTTTCATTTTCTTACATTTGTATTTCTTTAAATTTTTGTTTCTGTTTCTAAGTAATGCTAAAATTTCCTTAGTTGACCCTGTGAATAAATGCTGTAACTAATTTAACTGTGAACCTCGGCAAGACAGGTTAGTTCTTTGTTATTTAAAACTCTCTAATTGAGATTTGTTTTGTGTTCTAAGTATATTGTCTGTGTAGATTATATATAATAATTTACAGGCTGTATCATAGCTTTCATTTTGTGCTGTGTGACTTAACGAGGAATACCTCATTTAGAACACTTTATTATCTGATAATTTACGGTGTTAACTGACAGCTCGTAAACCTAACATATTGCAGGTATGTAAGCATGTTTTCCTATAGAGTATTGTGCTTTGTGAATATTTACTTAGGGAACATTACCAAGCATTTACTTTACTTGAATGTAAAATTCTAATCACAGATAACTGTTCCTAGTTTTCCTAAAAATGCCATCATAATTGAAATCCTTGTTGTAATTTTTTTTGTTTTGAAATCCTTTTTATAATTTTAAAGAAACAATTCAGGTACTTTTAAACCATAAACTGTAGCTAGAAAATAGAAATTTGTACTTTTTTTTTTTTTTTTTTAAAGTTTCCTGACAAGAAGTCTTATCTTTGTTGTGGACTTTTAAGGTGGTGAGGTCTTGAGTGAAAAAGTTGAGTTGAGTTGACTGACTAATTTATAAATGCACAGCAATGGTATGAGTGTTTTTTGGTTTATTCATTTTTTTGGGGGTGTATGTGTGTGTGTGCTTCAACTGGTGCTCTAATACTTTTTCTCTATCCTGCTTACATGGATAATTTTGTGAGATTAAAGAGAATTTAGTTTTATCTCCTTAAGTGTGGGCTATTTATATTTGCTGTGTTGTGTACATTTTCCAGGTGAATTCTATGTTATCCTTCCTAGTTCGTAATGTTTTTTTTTCTTGCTAACGTACAGTACTGCATTATATATGAAGTGGTGACAAGGTGAAAATAAGCTGTTTATTTTATAAAAGGTATATGCATACAATGAGGAAAATTTACCAAAACTAACACTATTTTTTTCATTCCTGTTATTTTATTTCAGTGGCAAATATCATAGCTCTTCTTGATACCCAATAGCATCAGTAACTTTTTAGTGCTCTTTTCAGGTGGACTGCAGTAATACTGGTTGTTTAGTTGAAAAATATTAAAGAGAAATAGAAAATAAATACCAATACATTATTTGTTTTAAATGGCAAGACCATGACCTCCTTTGAGCTTATTTTACCCACATTTATAGAAGTTCTGCCCAAGGGAAAATAGCTTACTTTTAGAGATCTCTTGATCTTATACACTTAGGAACATATGACTTTGGATACTTTAAAAATACATACAATTTGACTTTTGAAAAGTCAAATCGATATTAAATTAATTGGGAGATTCTAAAAACTAACAATCAACAAAGATTGTTGAGAACTTTTACTCAATGCAGGAGAGATTCAGAAGTTTGTCAGGGTTCCGGTTGCCTGGGTGGCTCATTCATTTAAGCAACTGACTTGATTTCAGCTCAGGTCATGATTTTACGGTTTGTGAGATCAAGCCCTGTGTTGAGAGCCTGTTTGGGATTTTCTTTCTTCCTCTTTCTGCCCCTCCCCCACAGGCATGTGTGTGCATGCACTCTCTGAAAATAAATAAAATAAACTTAAAAAAACAAAACAAAACAACTTTTTCAGGGTACCAGCCTGGAATTCTTTAATATCTACATGTGAAACAATTAGAGAACAACAGGGCACCGAACTGTGGTAGTGAGTTGTAGTAAAATAAGAGTTTAGAGAAGGATTCAGCATCAACTTGAGTAGGTGAAAATGAGACTTGAATTAATCCTTGGATGATTAGGTAGATGGAGGACATTCCTGCCAGGGACTTTTTGTAGATAACTTTGACTAGATCTTAAGGTGGAGCTCTATGAATAGTATTACTGTCCCTATTTGACAGATGAAAAAAAAGAGGTTAAGACCATCCAAATTCTAAATGGCAAAGCTAAAATTTATAAACAAGTTTCTCATTCTTTTTAATTTCAAAAATTTACACAACTTATTATGGTACATTTTAAATATATGTAAAGTAGAGAAAACAGGTATAATAAACCCCTCTGTACATATCTCTCAACTTCAGGATATATCAACTCATGACCAATTGGGTTTCATTTATGCTTCTACCTACTTTCATCCTTTTTTTGGATCTTGTGTATTTTATTTAGGGATATTTAAGGGAAAGAAAGCCAGGCTAAAAACTGCCTTAAGTTAGAGGTTTTTTTGTTTTGTTTTGTTTTAATGTTTTATTTATTTCTAGGAGAGAGAGAGACAGCGTGAGCAAGGGAGGGTCAGAAAGAGAGGGAGTCACAGACTCTGAAACAGGCTCCAGGCTCTGAGCTGGCAGTCAGCACAGAGCCCGATGCAGGGCTCGAACCCACGAACCGTGAGATCATGACCCAAGCGAAAGTCAGACGCTTAACCGACTAAGCCACCCAGGCGCCCCTAGAGGTTTGTTTTCTTTCTTCACAAGTAGGGCATGATGTGGATTTAGTGGCTTAAGTAAGCTAGGATCAAAAATCCCTGATATTCTTAGCTTTTCTCATGATTGCAAGATGGCTCTAGCCATCATGTCCACCTTCCAGACAAGAATGAGGTAGAAGGAAGAAGGGGGCAATAGGAAAAGGGTTTCATTTATAGTAGGAAATTAAATTTCTCAGAAATTTCCAGCAAGCATCTGCTTATAAATCATTGGCTAGAACTATGTCGTATGGTCATCTCTGGATCATAGAGGCTGAGCAATATAAATGGGCGTGTTGCCGCCTCAAACAGAGCTGGGGATTTAAATTTATAAAAAGTAAATGTCTCAGTCTGTTCAGGCTGCTGTAAGAGAATACCGTAGATCAAGTGGCTTATAAACAACAAATTTATTTCACATGGTTCTGGAGGTTAGAAAGTCTAATATTAGGGTGCTGGCACATTTGATGTCTGATAGGGCTCCCTACCTGGTTCAGACAACTGTCTTTTTGCTGTGTCCTCACATGGTACAAGGGGCTAGGAATCTCTCTGGGGTCTTTTTATAAAGTATGAATCCAATTTATGAAGGCTTTGTCCTCAGCCTAATTAACTCATCACCTCCAAGTACTATCACACTGGGGGAATACATTTCAACATACGAATTTTGGGAGGACACACATTCAGTCTTTGGCAGCAGAGAAATAAGCATGCCTTCTTTAAAATTTTTTTTAATGTTTTATTTCTGAGAGAGAAAGAGACAGACAGCATGAGCAGGGGAGGGTCAGAGAGAGAGGGAGATAAGAATCTGAAACAGGCTCCAGGCTCTGAGCTAGCTGTCAGCACAGAGTTTGACACGGGGCTTGAACCCACGAACTGCGATATCATAACCTGAGCCGAAGTCGGACACTTAACCGATTGAGCCACCCAGGTGCCCCAAGCATGCCTTATTTTTTATTGATTCAGATTTTACACATAATTTAAAAAATTGTCTTGTTTAAACTTATATTTTGTTCTATTCACCTTTTGGAATTGCCTGTAGTTTTCAATTTTTTCTCCCCCGCTTTTCCTTACTGGCAAGTGTAAAAATAAATCTTAAGTTCGTTTCCTATATATGTGTGCTTACCAGTGGGGTTTAAGGATTTAGTGGGCATTGGCTTGTGGTTTCATTTCCATCTAATAAACTTTAAGATACTTTCTTCTCTGAATTTTCTTTGGAATGTAGATTTGGTATGTATAGCACTGTGATATAAAAGACAAGACAAGGAAGCTAATCTCAACTCAGATGTACTTCAGGGTGTCTCTGTTCCCTCTGGCTTAAGCAACTGCTCACAAATAAATGAGTTAATAAATTACTGAACTTTCTTCTTGAGTAGTGTATAGTTAATACTTCTATAGAGGAGTTTGTAACTTGCTGAAAGGTTACAGATCATTTCAGCTGAAGTGTGTTTGGCCTGAATTGCAACAACTTTCTTTATAAATTATAATAGTTTTTGTATTTAAAAAGGGAAAAGAACATCTTTTCTCTACAACTAATATTAGAAAGGCTAGATTGACAATATGCTTAAAGGCTCTTGAACATTTAAATTGGGTTAAATACAACTATTTAAAACTCAGATCTGCAGTCTGCTCAGGTTACTAAAGATAAACGTATCATACATTCAATATCAGACTTTGCTTCAAGGTTTCATTCCCACATACAAGTACGCATGCTCATTTCTTCCGAGACTGTGTGAAGATTGAGCTTTACAGTTTCCTTTTTAAGGAACTTCGTAGTCTGAGCAGTAGTTTAGAAATGGAAAAGTTTGGTTGCTTTAAAGAATAGTTCTTAAGTGGATTCTTAAAGTACAAATAATATTTTTCCTCTGTTTTTAAGGAGAATCTTTACTGCCCAGAATGAGTACACAAGAAAATACTGAAAGGAAAAAAGAAAGTTAGCTGTATCCTAGTTTTCTAAAACCTGGCAAGCTGGCAGAGCTAGAATTAGCATTACAGATGGCATTTGGCAACATAGCTACATATCACTAAGCCCTCCTCTCCTGAGTTTTCTTCAGCCTGTCTATCAATTACAATATCCAATCACTGCACAGAGATGGAGAAATGGGATGATCACAGCTCACACGATGCTGTTTGGTTAGAAACGTCAGTGCTGCACAACCCACGGCTGAGTCAGTGTCTGTGAGAAAATGAACTGAATTAATACATAGAGGGGGTTGTATCTCTGAACATTTGCAGCCTAAATAACCGCAATAGCATTATTACATAGTAGAGGGAGGAAAGCTAGAGGAAGTCTGTGGACAGGT